GGTCCCGCCACATCCCAGGCATCTGCCGGCCTCGGCCTCCGGGGTTTTGCACTTGCTTCGACGCTGACACTCTTTCCTCGAAGAGCCCTGTGTCCGCCTCCCTCCTTGCTGTGGGGTCCCTGCCCGCCTGCGTACAGCAGCGCCGCCCACCGTGTAGCTCTGTCCCCTTCCCCGGCTTTTTTTCCTTCATGGCACTCAGCACGGGCAGGGGGAGGATGTCTCAGTATCCCCTCTCCCATAGCGGAATGTCAGCTCCACGAGGATGGGACGTTTGTCATCGTTTCCTGCCGTGTTCCAACCACCTAGAACCCTGCCTGGCATATGGTGGGTGATCAGTGTGTGTGAAAGGAATGAGCCTTGATCCCTGAATCCCAGGGCAGGCTCCTCCCCAGACAGCCCTGGGGCACAGTCCCGGTTCTGTCATTTATCAGGTCACTTTGCCTCTCCGAGTCTGGCTCTCACAGGGCTCTCCTGAGGATTAGGATGCGACCTGGCAGGTGGTGGGTGTGGCAGGGAAGTTTGCTCTGGACTGTCCCCTGGCCCCCACCGGAGTGCGGGGTGGGGCATCCAGAGGGTCTGGTGGCCCTTCTCTTCCGTGTCCTCTTGTGTCTCAGGGCTGGAGGCCTATAAACCACATTCCCACCGCCCTTTGTGGGCAGACTCCCCAGCAGCCTCTGCCTATGAGGCCTGGTCACATGGGAGCTGTAGGAGCGTGGGCCCCGCGATCCCCGGCCGTGAATTCCCTCAACCCCAACCTCCGCTGAGTCCCCGAAGCTTTGCAGGGCCCCCCTTCCCTCCCCTAGCTCTGCCAGTAGTTCTGGGAACTGAATCTCTTTATCAAGGGATTTATTTCCTACTCAAAACTGCTAAGGTGGAATGCTTCCTTGACCGAATCCCAAATGGACAAGAAAGTCTCCGGAGTTTTCCCAGAGGGCACACTTTGAGGTGGGGACAAGCCGGAGTGTGCGCTGGAGCGGACAGGGTAGAAGTGGTGGGACAGGACTCATCTCCTCCCAAACTTTGCCACCGGGAAAGGGGGGGTAGGCCTCTCCCTGGGGGCGAAGCCGGTCCCAGGCCTGCCTCGCCCCGCCCCGCCCCCAGAGCAGCCGTCATCACGGTGACCAGGACGCGAGGGCGGCCCCCGTGGCTGGGGTTTTCGGCACCTTACGGATATGAGTATCTGTTAGCTCATCCTCTGCTCACGACGCCCCGGCTTGGACTATACCGGCATCGTCCTACTTACCCCGGGAGGAAACCCAGGCCCAGACTAGGAAGTCAGGTGCGCAGCTTAGTGGCACAGCTGCTCTCGGTCCTTCCAGGCCCGAGGAGGGGGCTCGAGGCAGATGAGCTGACGTTCGTTCCGCGCCTTGGGGTTCACCAGACCCCTTCTCCAGCCCTTCTTGCAATCCCTTCCGCTTCCCACGAGCCCTCGGACCCCAAGCTCCTGGCCCTTTGCAGCAGGTGCGGGGAAGGGACTTCGCTTTCCCTCCGTCTGGGTGGAGGACCGAGCACGGGCCCGTGGAGAAAACGATGGCTGGAATCGCAGCCCGGCTCACCTGCCCACACAACCTGGGCGTCCTGTCCCCCGGGGCCTCAGCGTCCCAGCTGTAGACAGTGGGTGGGCCCAGGACCACTAGGGGCTCTTCTGACACTAACATTCTAGAATCCTGCTTTAAAGACATTTTGAGGGGATCCCTGCGGGGGGGGGGGCTCAGTGGTTTGGCGCCTGCCTACGGCCCAGGGCATGATCTTGGGGTCCCGGGATCGAGTCCCACATCGGGCTCCCTGCGTGGAGCCTGCTTCTCCCTCTGCCTGTGTCTCTGCCTCTGTGTGTCTCTCATGAATAAATAAATATTTTTTAAAAAATAAAAAAATAAAGGCATTTTGAAAACCAAGATCTTTGGTCAGGGCAGAGAAGTAAGACCACATGTTTTACCGAACCTGGCTGGGCCGTGTGGCGGAGACCTAGAGCACCAAGCCCAGGGGAACCGGGGGAGTTTGCCATAGGATGGGTTTGCCCCCAGGACACATGCCCTGCAAAGGGGACCATCGTGCCACAGAGGCTGGTCTTGCCTACTGACCCGGGTGCTCTCGGCGGGTTCTCAGCTGACTTCAGTCACTGATGGCCGCCCTGTGCCAGGTGCACGCTGGGCCCTGGGGTCACAGGCGTCTCAAACACAGGCCCTGGCGGCCCAGAGCTCAGGGAAATGAGAGCAGTCTCAAACCTCTGTACTCTCCCTTGCTGGCTTCCTCAGCTCGGACTTCCAACGTGCCCCTGGTGTGATGCGAACCTACCTCGTGCCCGGCTCTCCAGGGCACTGTGACCCACAACCCCTGGGCTGCAAAGAGATCAGGACAGGCCCTCGAGGTCCCACCCCATGCGGGAGCTCAGCAGGTGCAATCAGAATTGTTGCTTGGCAACCGGGACTTGTGACACAGCTCACATCTGTCCTGGCTGGAAGCGAAGGCGCCAACCTGATCCAGCACCTATGTGCTGGGTGCTCAGCTCCTAAGCAAGCGGGGTATGTCCAAATGTCCCAAGTGACCCACACAGAGACAGAGCCATGCCTGGACAGTGGAGAACACACAGGCTTTGAATGCCAGGCCTGCCTCTTACCATCTGTGGGAGGCTGGCAGGTCACGTAAGCTCTGTGAGCCTCAATTTTGTCTCTAAAATGGGCCTATAATGCCTACTAGCGCAGTCACTGTGCAGCAGCTTCAATTAGCTAACGTGTGCAGGTGCTGCCAGTGTCCCGGAGATGTGTTCCCCTTCCCGGCACCTCTGAGGCTGCCATTCACCACCAGCAACACAGAGTCCACCCCCACAGGAAACCTTGCCTCTCTGAGAGACCCTAAAGCTCTACTCTGGCTACCCCTTCCTTGCTTGCCACAGGCTGGGCCATGCCTACTGGGGGCAACCCAGGGCACTGATGGGATATCTGCCCTTCCAAGACCTCAACTGGGCATGTCCAGAGCAGCAGCCCCAAAGAGCAGCTTCCTAGTTACGGGCAGTAAGGATGTGTTTGGAGCAGTCTGGAAGATGGCCTCTGCTTTAGGTGCCTCGTGTGGCCCAGGCTCTGCTACTCTGCCCAGGGAGACACCAAAGGCCAGCAGCTCTCATCTCTCCCATGGGCAGCACAGCTCGGATTTGTCCTTCACTCCAGAGTGGTTAGTGCTGTGGAAATAAAGAAGCACTGGAGTCACACAGACTGGGGTTTGAATCCCAGGTTTGCTCCTTATCAGCTGTAAGATTTGGTCAATTCACTCACCCTCCCTGACCCTCTGTTGTCTCATCTTGAAAATGGGCCTAGGACCACCCACCTCCTAACACAGTTGTTAAACTATTATCACCGGTATTAGGTGTGAAGGACCTAACAGGGCCTGGCATGTATTAAGCACTAGAGAAAGGTCCACGTCCTAACCAATGAACAGGCCACCTGTTGTGATCCATATCCGTGGGGTGGGAGGAGGAGGAAGTCCAGACCCCAAGCCAGAACCCAGGGCACAGAATCCACCCCGATGCCCTCTCTGGGCTTGTTGAGAAGTCCTCGGAGAGATTTCAATGGGATGGTGTCTCCTCCTGGGAGAGAAGACCTCAACATCCACCCAGTGAAGCTGAAGGTCACGTCAAATCTGAAAGGCAACTTTGTTCTTCTTGGCTTCATCTGTTATGCATGAAAGAACAGACGGCGGGTGCTCAGGATTCATAATTTGAGACATCCGGAGACTAAAGACATTGGCCAGATTTAAACCGAAAGATGAACTTGTTGGGTGTCTTTTCAGATTATGGGAGAAGAAAGGAGAGAATTACTTAGTCATCTATGATCCACTCAGAATTCACAGTGAGTCTGCCTGACATCAGAGGGCTCCGCCTCTGGGTTCCGGATATTTTAAGTATCACTGTTAAAAGGGACAAGGAGATAAATGTTGGAAGAGACCCCCCACTGGAGCCTGGAGAGAGAGGTCTTTCTGTGGCAGGAACCGTGGGGCTGACAAGGCCTTGGGCAGCAGGAGCACAGGTGCGGCTCCAGGGAGGTCAGGACGTGGTGGGGTCAAGGGTCACACAGATCTGAGTCTGGCCAAGGGCTCTGCAGAGTGCGGGCCTGTGACTGCCTTCCTCCCTAGCCTTGGCGCTGCAGCAGTAAAAGGAGCTAAAAGCACTGGGCTCAGATGAGATCAAGTCCAGCACAGCCCCAAGTACATAGTAAGAACTCAGTTAACGGGAGCTCCCTTTACTGTCAATTTTACTTTGACTTCCTTAAATGTATTGGATCCAAATGCCTTTTGCTCTGAGATATACTTTGAACCATCTCAGTAGCCAATGACATAATGGTTACCCCCGAGTCTCACAGAACCCAGGGAGGTGGGAGGGTGGAGCTTGCTGCAGCCTTTTCCCAAATAGGAAAGAAGTGACTAATCCAGGGTCACAGCCTGAGTGAGGCCTTGGGTTTCCCCAGTCACCAAAACACTTCCCACCATCCCCTGCCCCCTCCCCCAGCCCCCCGCTGGTCCCCAGTCACACCAAAGCCGCACGTCTGGAGTCCATTTGGATCCACTGTGGACTGCCAACCCCAGCATTAGAGTCCCAGGCCCAGTCTGTGTTTAGCTCATAGTGTGCCAAAGGAATGCACATCGGGGGCCCAGGTGAGAATGTGATGGAAGTGATGGACATCCTCCCCGAGAAAAATGCACATGCGGACACACACCTAATCATATGCACAATCCATGGATTCACAGACCCCTGGCCAGGCAGCCCTGACCTGGGTTCCTGCTGCACTGGCTTGCTGGTAAGCCGAGCCATCCCAGGATAACCTCGCCAAACACCCACATTGGCTGGGTAAAAAGGGGCTCCTCTGGGCTTCTACCAGGAGACCACAGACCATTACTCCCACCACGACTTGGCTTGTGGTCACTACCACTGCAACCACTAAAGGCAGGAGCTGCCCGACACTGTGTTCCCACCCAGCCACAGGCCACTCCCTCCAAGTGCTCTTTATATATATTTCAAAAAGAGAACCTTTATTACTTATTCTTTTCCTCATTAGAACATCTTTTACAGCAACACAAAGCAAAGCACAAGACTCATCTGCAGATACACAGGAGTACACCAACAGCGTGTCACCAAGAGACCCACACAAGGGCCAGGTTGGACTCAGACACACACACACACACACACACACACACACACACACACTCTGTACGGCCTCTCAGGGCTCCTGGACCCTTGTGCCAGGAACAGCTGGTGTCGGGCCCTACCTTTGCTGCCTCGTAACAAATCCAGGAGCCAATACCAAGGTCTGGGGTGGGCAGCAAGGTGCAGGAGCTGGGCAGGAAAGGAACTGATCCCCACATTCTGATAAAGATGCTACAAATGCCACCCCACTCCTTGGCCAGGCACCTATCTTTGTGCTGATTCAAGTGCTTAGAGAAGTAGATTCTGAGAAATGGTGTGTGCTTTTCCTGGGCTGGTGAAACCCGCTCCAACTATCATTGGTGACTCAAGTTTAGTAAAGCCAGGCCTGGGAGGCACCTCCAGGTGGAGAGGTCACTGGCAGCTTTGCTGGGAGCCCCGGGGTGGAGGGAGGGGGACAGGGAGGAGAGGTGGGAGGAGGAAGGGAGACTAAGAGGATACAGACTATTGCTGGCACGTCCCAATCCAGGGATGAGAGTCAGGAAAGAAGAGCTCAATGCTTTGGGGTCTCATTTAGTTTCACCCTCCAAATTAGCATCAACACTTCCATTTCCACAGAAATCGGCAGCCAGACAACTAGCAGGGCACAGAGGCTCAAGCCAGTTGTGTGTGGAAAGGCACCAGATGGTTTGTTATGAAACACATTTTGGTCAGAAAATAGCTGGGGTTTTTGGTTCCTGGGAGGACAACAAAGCCAGAAAGAAAGGAGGTGTGAGCCAGGAGAGGCGAGGGTGAGAGGCAACTTTGGCATCAGATCCGGTTCTACTCTGCACTCCACCCCTTCCAGGCTTGGGGCCTGTCTCCTCCTCCGAAATGTCCTGACCAGGTCTCAGTGTTGGGCTCCACACAGTCCCAGGAAGCATGGGGAATTGGGGCTCAGAGATACCCACGCAGACAGGATGAGTGGGCACGTTCCCGTCCAGCTCAGGGAGAAAGGGCAGGTGGGGGACCCCGACAGAGGTCAGTCACACACAAATGATCCCCACTGTTGCAGTCAGACCCCGGGGACCTGTGGGCAGCCGGTTCCACTGGTTCCGAGCACTGATGGGGACCATCCACAGTGACTTGGGGCCCTTCTGTAAGGGCAGAAAGCTCTATGCAATGCAGCACCATTGAGGAGCCCCTGGGGGCCTCACCTGCCGTGCTTTAAAGTGCCAGCTGCATGTTGTCTTTGGTCAGGGGCTCCCCTCTGTCTCTGAGAGCCCCGGGGCCAGGGGCACAAGCCCAGGCCTGCTGGGCCCCAGTGGAAGGCACACTTGAGGACACAGCGCTCTCCTGAGGCTGCGGGGCCCTCCTGTGCTCAGAAGTGGGGGTGCCACCACGGAAATCTGGGTTCTTAGAGAGAGGAGAGACAAAAAATGCTTTGGTCACCGTCCTGACACCCACAGCAGAGCAGAGCTTGCTTGAGAGAGGGCAGAAAGCTGGTTAAAACACTGCGCTCGTGCCTGACGCAAAACCAGCTTCCGAGTTGAACCAGGAGTCACTGAATAAATATTCAAGGCATCCTTCAGTACTTACAGAAAGAGTGGGGCTTAAAAAAAAAAAAAAAGAAAGAAAAAAAAAATTTTCCTTCCCCCCTGCTTGACTGGTTGCAGCTTTGACCCGAAGGCTGAGGGCGCTGCCAACCAGCAGAGGGAGGCTGGGGTCCTGGAGCCGGCCCACCCTGCAACGAGAGGCTTTGGTCTGTCATGTGTCCTGCCAGTCCGGGCCCTCAGAAGCTGAAGAGGTCATCCTGCTCGGTGCTGCTGCTGTCAGGCTTGTCCCAGTCGACAGGTGAGAGGCACTGGGCGTAATGGATGTCCTGTGCTGTCAATCCAATGTCCAGGACCTGAGGGTTCGTCCGAGACTGCGCAAGCCTGGAAGGCAGAGCTGTGTGAGCCCAGGGCCCCGGAAGGGGCTGGCAGGAGTCTGAGCCGCCCATTCCCAGTCAGAAGTGAGAGGGCATGGATGGGAGAAGGCTGGGACACAGGGGCCAGAGGAGAAAGCCCTGGATGTCAGGAGAGCTGGAGCCTCGGACTGGAGTCTACCCTGGAGGACCAAAGGGCTCAGAAAACGCTGGGGGTAGGCAGGGGCATTACCACCATGGAGAGAGGCCAGGGCAGCAACACCAGCCCCAACTCCACCAGGAAAGAAGAGGAAGAGGAGCGCTGGTGAGGGCAGGAGGGACATACGGGGTGGAGGGGGTATAGCCAGAAGCAGACAGACTACTGCCTAGAACTCTGTTCAAAACACAAATTTAAAAAGGAAGGTAACCGAAGAATAGGGGAGAGGTAAGTAAATTACAGCCCTGGTCCTTAAAAGAATGTGAGGCAGTAAGTGAGGTGTTTACGAGAAGTTTTTAACAGCCTGGGGAAACCTCCTGATGTGTCAGTGTTAAGTGAAAATGAGGACCCCCAAATACAAATACCATGAGTTGATAAAGGCAAAAAGAAAAAAAAAGTATATACGTATAGGATTAGCATGAATTAAGCCCAAAAGTCTGGGCTGTGGGATTATAGGATGGTGTTATTTCCTGTTTAATGCTTTGCTGATTTTCAGAGTTGTTAATAAAGGGCACAAGATACCTAAGTAATCTGGAAAAAGCAAATAGAAGATTTTCCTAAAATGAGGGGGCTGTAGTCAGCTAGTGAAACAGGGTAAAAAGAATGTCTTTGCCTCCGTGAAAGGGCCACCTATGCTGACCCCCAGGTGCCCTGGCTGGGCCCTGGGGTTTCTAGCAGGCTCCAGCAGGGAGGGGTTGGGGAGGAAGAAGGGGACTGCCTGGGGTCCCCAGGGAGACAGGGAGACCTGACTGGCCCAGGCCCAGTGCTCAGAACCCTGAGCTGCCCAGGGCTCTCTTCAGCCCAGCCTTCCCCAAGCCATGTCCCCAAGATGAAGGTAGCCATGGCTACAGGAATGGCCCCCAGGAAGATGAAGAAATGCCACCACCCTCAGGCAAGACCAAAATATCTGCTGGCTAAGCCTGACATTCCTCCTCTATGTATTGCTCCATGGGCTTAATTAAGCATCACCTCCTCCCTGCCCCTTTCCATAACTGCAAAAGCCTCTGGAGGGAACAAAGTCTGCAAAAAGCCAGGTCTACAAGGCTACACCGAGCGTAGGAAGAGGGAACCAACCCAAGCTGCAAGTACTGAGTTCATCTCAGACTGTGGTAGAGAAGCCACTAGGAACAGTTTTTGATTCAACAGCAAGAGCCTTTTAGCAGACCTGGCCAACCCCACATAGTGAGTTCCCCATCCCTGGAAGTATTCAAGTTGAGTTTTTTGCTCTGGAAAAGGTCAGAGTTCATGTTCTCAGATATGGCAAAGGACCCCAGAGACGAGCCCATGAACGCCAGCACAAGGAGTCCAACTAACATTACCTTGAAAATGCTTCATCCAGGCCATCATCCAGCTCCTTGGAGAAAACAAAGCAGGACACATGAACCCTCAGTGGGGGAGCCTGTCCCAGCCCCGGGTAAGCTATGAGGACTTCAGACACAAGCACAGGAATCTTGTGAGTGCCCGGGGAACAGGCCCAGACAGGCCTCCCACCTGGCCCCTGCCACACGCATCTCAACCCATGGGCCCAAGCCTGGGAAGTGGAACAGGAGAAAAGAGCAGCTGGGTGGGTGCAATTCGCAGCTCTGCCACTACCCAGGTGACACCTTGGCCAAGTCACTGCTCCTCTTTGGGACTCAGCTTTTCCTTCCGGAAAGTGAGGGGGTTGGACTGGAGGAAGTCGATGGCTTTCAAGCTGAAGAGCAAAGGGGGCAGGGAAGGTTTTCTTGCTTTCATCCACTTCCAAAAACTGAGCCAGGATTCCAAGCTCATGAGGGATACCTGGTGGCAGGAACCCCAGAGCTTAGGTGAGAAAACAATGGGCAGGGCTCCCTGCAGCTTCCCTGAGTAGAGGGGTAGCTAAGGGTGGTTCCCAGGCAGCAGAGAACAGGCAACTGATGCCTACTCGAGGGGGCCGCTGGGTGGCTCCCAACAGGGAAGAGGATTTGAGTTTTTCAAGTGGGTCAACATTCCAGATATTTTAAAATTAAAGAGACACGACAAAGTAACGTGTGATTCTGCAAGTGATCCTAGACCAGAAAAAGGACATACATGTGGAGAAATGTGACTGTGGCCTGTGGATTACTTAGCAGCATCAGATCGATGTTAATGATGTCGATCACTGTAACGTGGTTATGTGAGACGCTGACACTTGAAGAATTTGGATGAAAGGTGAACAGGAACGCTTTGTACTGTTTTTATAGCTTTTTTTGTTAAGACCAAAATTATTTCCAAGTGAAAAATTTAAAAAAATTTTTAATAAAGAAACTAGTTTCCTCTGGGAGATGCTACAGGCAGGGGTCATCATCTTTATTGAGGGCATGAAAAAGCTGAGACACAGAGAGGTCAGGGGGCTTGCCTTGAGTCACAGAGTGAGTCAGGGGCCAACTGCTGACCGCCAGGCTTCAGGCTCCTCCTTCAGATGGCGGAGCGGGGAGGGGTGTCGGGAGCAAACCGTGCCCACGCCAAGAACAAGGGAGCCTTTGGCTGGTCCTGTGGTGGGCTGAGCCATGGACGCTCAGACCAAGAGGCTGGGCATTGTGAGGAGACAGCTGTGCTGGGAGCCAAGCCTGCTGGGGAGGCAGCCCCGAGTTCAAAGGGAACATTGTGTGCCCCCCACCCTGGGCCTGGGGGCTGCTGGGCTGAGTCTGGCCCTCCCAAAGGACTAAAGTCATGGGTGCCAGGACCTGGGCACTACAACAGCCTTAGGCCTCAACCAGAGATCAAGCTGAGGCTCGCTGGATCCCTGTGGGGTCCCCAGGCCACATGACCACTCACCCAGACAACACTGCTATTGTTCAAGGCTTGAGGCCTGGGTGCCTCGTCCACTTTAGTGGTGTTAGCGCTGACTGTGGACAGCGGGGCCTTGGCCGTCTCTTCCAAGTCCAGCAGGTTCCCAGTGGCAACCACTATGAGGGGTCCGGTCAGGTGTGTCAGTGGGAAGAGCTTCTTATTTCCAGGCCTCATCTCCCAGCCCCATCCTGGAGCCTCCCAGGCTATCCTGGTCCTGACTCTATCCTCAGGAATGGCCTTCCCAGGCCTATAAACCAGACCACCCAGAGCCCCACCTGTGCACCTCCTGAAGCAGCTGGACAGCTGTCCACAAGGCAAGAACCTCTTCCCAGCTAATGTGTTAATGTGTTAGGCTAAAATTTTTACATTCACAACAGGGTGTTAAGTTTTTTAAGAGATCACATGAGAGGATGTTAAATGCCTACACAGAGACGTGTACATATATTTATATAGCTGCATAGAGACATATTTGGAAGAACATGCACCAAAACGAGCAATCGTTAACTATATTTTCTAATTCATCTATAACGAACATGTATTACTTATTTAACAACAAAACAAAAACAAGAAACCAAGGGTCTGCCCCAGCCCAGGAGGGAATGGGGCCCTCTGGGTGAAAGGCAGACCAGATCACACAGCCTGATTCTGGCCCCACCCCCTGCCCAAAACTCACGGCTCTTCAACGACGGGGTGCTGTCTCGGAGGCCCCCGCCCAGGAGGTCCCCTCCCTCCTGGCTGGCTTTCTCCCTCTTCTCCTTCTCTGTGGGACCAAAGCACAGAGTGTTGGAACTCCTGCCCCCAGCAATCGCTGGACAGAGGCAGGCTGCAGCCAATCTCAAGGGGCGGGCAGTAGGTATCCACCAGGGAGGAAAGAAACTGCAGATCTGACCCTCACAAGAGCCCTGGGGAAGGGAGATGGCTGTTCCCATTTCTTCACAGGGGGACACGGACTCAGGGAGGTGAAGGGACCTGTCCACAGACACGAACCAGGTAGGTGATGAAGTGGAGTGGGACCTGAACTCCGGGGGCTTGACCACCCACTCCCCACTCCTCTCTACTCCACCAGTCTTCCCCTATTCCACCCCCACCCACCACGGTGTCCCCGAACAAGACTCACCTTCCTTGGACACCTGCCAAAACTCAAAGGCAACTTTGAAAGCCTGGGCTACTGTGAGGGTGACAGCCTGGGCCTGAAAAACAGGAAGCAGGTTGGGGGCGGGGTGCAGGTCAGGCAGGTAATGGCAAGTCTGAAATGCAAGCCCCGAGGCTCTGCTCCTTCAAGGCTCTGAACTGCCAGATGGGTGAAGGCAGAGTTCTGGCCCCTCCCATGTCACCAAAGCAGCCTAGGGGTGTAACGAGGCCACACGCTCTGCAGGCAGATGGGGCCACATCCTCACGACAGGCAGCCCAGCCAGGGTTCCCACCTCTATTCCAGCCCTGACATTTGCAATGGCTGTTCCCTTCCACTTTTTTCCCTTCCCTTTGGGTTTCTCTATATTCAAATAACTAGGAGGCTTACTTCCTCCAAGAAGCCCCCACTCCAACTACCTAAGCACTTCACACAGTAATTTAGCCCTTAGAATCAGAGAACAGAGAAGCCAGAACTGGGAAGGGCCTGGTCACTGCCTGCATGAGCCACAGCCAGAAGCACAGGTTAGACTCTGGTTAGCTCTATGACTGTTAGAGGGACTTATAACTGGACCCAAGATGCCAATGTGTGCCCGTGCAGGGGACCAAAACCACTCAGTGTCATAACTCACCTGTCAGAGGGGGCCACATCTCGGCCCTTCACCCCTGAGGAACTCCCATCTACCCCTTCAAACCCCACTCAGATATTACCAGCTCTCTCAGGTCACCAGCACAGAGGCCCCTCAGGTACCGACCTCTCCCTGGCATCATGCCTATGACAGAATCACCAGCTCACATGCCTGTGCCACCCCATCTGGGTGCTCCCTAAAGGCAAGAACCCGTTCTAAACACCGCTGATCCCCAGAGCAGACCAAAGCCCTCCAGAGCTGTAACACCGCACTGGCTCCAGGGGCAGGCCTCCAGAGGCCTCACTCAGCCTCCACGTTCATCTCAGCCTCTTCCTCTCTCTGCTTCCAGTTCAGGGTTAATCACAGCTCAGCTTCTAGGAGTGGGAGCCCCAGAGCTCAGCTGTAGCTGGAAGCAACATCCAGCTTCCTTCTGACAGCCTGGGCGTGGGGAAGAAAGTACTGGATTCTTTCAAGTGCGCAAGTTCAGGCCTAAACCAGCCTTGGACCCACTCCATTCCCCTCCACCAGACGACTTGATTTAATTGAGAAATGAATCTGTGGCTACTGCCTTGAAAACTTTTTTTAAAATTTAAAATCCTTAAACAAGCTGACTGATCCATGCCAATTAAACTTCACGAAGTATAAAATCTCATTTGAATGTCTCGTCATTTACATTTTTGATGGAAGTACGGGTGCTTTATGGCAAAACTTAAATATGGTAATTAAGTATGAAACTCTTCACAGCTGTTTACAATTTAAGCTGTCACGTCTGAATCAAGTTTAATAGACCCAGTTACCATTGAGAATTGCCCATGAACTAAAAATATGGGCTGATTACCAGCCGGAGTCAGCTCACTATACACCCAAGACAGGACTGGTCACCTAATGTGGCAGGGAGATGGAAACACCATTATTTTTGCCTCCAGGATATCTGGGGGCATGAACCTGATACTGTTTTTGCATAAATCTACTTGTTCATTTGCATACATTCCTGCCCTTTCGCCCTGAAATCCCGAGCTGCAAGTAAACCAAATATAACCCAAGATGCACATGTGTGCACGTGGCTGCAAGCCCAGGATGGGCAGGGACTTGGAGCGGGGTGGGCCCTGCTCTCTGGGGCGGCTGCAGGAATCTGGGCAGCATTACAAGAAAGGACTGCTCAGGGCTGCCCACGGGGAGGTCTTCCGTCCCTTATTCCGCAGGCTAAATGCTTATCCCTCCTAGGAGTGCCTCTAGCCTTTGGGTCTCTTATCACCAGAATCGGGTTCCACCTCACCCAGTGTTTCATACCTCTGGCTTGTTCCCAGTAACTAGGCTGTTAGCTCCTGCAAGGGGCCAAGTCTAGCTCAGGACCCCCCAGGATCCCAGATTCCAGCCTAGCCCTCAGACCAAGTCGGGCCATGTGTCCCTTATGGCTCTGCTGCCCCAGAAGCATAAATCCTGCACAGAAGGAGTACCTGAGGAATGCCAACAGCCATGTAAGGGAGAATGGCTCTGCTGCCCGGGGTAGAACTAGGGGGCGCCACCTTGTTTACTCTTGGTCTACCTGCACTGCAACCCTGGGCCCCCGTCAAGCTGGCAACCCCACTTTCACTTCAGAATCCAGAGGCTGCGGGCTGGCGGAGGCCTCCCAGTTGGGCCCAGGGAAGTATTTCTTTGTAGAGGAACTCATCCTGGTCGTGACAAGAGTCACCAGGGAAGGGAGGCCTGGTGCCTGTGCTGCCTGAGCTGAGTTGAACTGGTGGGTGACCCAGAGAGGAACCCCTTCCTCCCTCCCTGGGTGGTCCTAGACTTCTCCATTATGCAGGCAGCCCCGCGAGAAAGGGTGGGGACGCGAAGACAGTGGGCCCCCAGCCAAAGGCAACGAGGGCTGTGTCAGCATGCAAATCCGAGCTTCCCCAGCAGGTTGACTCTCCTTGGCCACCCACCCCGGCTCCAGTCACAGCTGAGTCCTCAACCACCAATCATACCATTTAATTCTGCACCTGTGTCTTTGCACGTGCTGATTCCTACACTGGGGTGCGTGCACTCTTCTACCACCACCCCCTTCCTCTCGGCCAGCAAACTCTTATTCCTTAGCCCTCAAAGCTTGACTCCAAACGTCTCCTCTTGAAGTCTTACTGACCTCCAGTGAGACTTAATGACCTCCACCCCCTATATTCCAGTTACCGAATCCTGGCTCCTCTCTCCCACCCTCTTGTTGGTATCTCTACGGCTGATTCCCTGAGTACCCAGTGCCCAGCACAGGGCATAGCCCCGGACAGGCAGTGGCGAACATCGTGGAGGCACTGGGCAGCAGGGGGGGTTGCAGAACCTGAGATCCCCGTTTCAACTTCTGCCTCCTCAAAAAATGTCCACCAAGCCCTGAGAATCTCATGATTTCCAACATGGCCAGGCTACTGCCAGCTTGGGCCCAGTAAATAGGTGGCCTGTTTACACTGCCCTGTGCTGGGCTGTCTGTAGGGTTTCCCCAAGGCTCCCTGAAGAGCAAAGGCCAGCTGAGAAAGGGTGGCTAGGCCAGAATCAAGCCAGTCAGCTCCTGACACAGAGCAAAATGTGCCAGGGAAAGTGAAGAGCCTGGGTAGTCATTCCCCTGCTGGATCAGGGTCCTGCTGTCAGGGCCAAGCAGTGGGCAGGTTGTTTTCCTCAATAACTGACCTCTTGGCCTGGGGGCAGGCTGATTCTGTTCAAGCCTGTCTAAAGTCCTCTGGCCCCAGACCAGGCCTCCCTTTAGCCGCTGGGCCAGCATCCGCTTTCTTTTACCCCCTGCCTCCCCTTCCCAGAGGAAGCCACTGGAGCCTGGAGCCCCTCCTACCCAGGGTCCACACTCTGCTGCAGTGGCTGTGGGCCAGCTGCCCCTGCCCAGTGCCTGCTCTGGTCAGTGGGGAGGAAGAGACAAACAATGGGGACATAATGAGCCTGTATTTTTAAGTCTGTGTGGCCTCATAAGAGACAAAGCAAAGAGTCACTGTCTGTGAGAACAAAGCTGTCATGGGAGAAGCCACTGCAGCTCAGGGACCTGGGGCATCACGAGGCCTTGGGTGAGTGGCTGGCGACACCAAGTCTGAAGGAAAGAAACAAGGTACACATAAGAAAGGGGCCTTTCAGAGCAATCCTGGAGGTCAATGAGGTGCCCTCTTCATTCTGCTGATGGGCAAGCAGCCCAGTGAAGGGCAGGGTCCTATCCATAATCACACAGCATATCAGCCAGGATCAGACCCCTAATCTTTCTCGTCCTGTAATGCTCTCTCCAAAAGACCTGTGTGGGAGGCTGAATCATAGTCCCCAAAGATGTCCACAACTAATCCCCAGAACCCATGAGTGTTAGCTAGAATGGCAAAGGAAACTTCCCAAATGTGACTAAGTTAAGGATTTTGAGATGGGGGTTGTCCTGGATTACCTGGGAGGCCCAGCCACGGGGGCCTTTTAAGAGAGAGGAGGCAGGAAGGTCAGAGCCAGTGACAATGGAAGCAGGAGGAAGACTCTTCTAGTCTAGTACTGCACTGCTGGCCCTCAGGTTGAAGAAAGAGCTAGGAATCAGGGAATGGTGGTCTCTAGAAACTTGTAAAAAGGCAAGGAAATGTATTCTCCCCTGGAGCCTACAAAAAGATCACAACTCTGCTGACCCACTTTAGACTTCTGACCTCCAGAACCATAGGAGAATAAATTTGGGTTGTTTTAAACCACTAAATTTGTGGTAATTTCTTACAGCATCTCTAGGAAACCAATAACATATTTCAAGCAGGCCCCGATGGGGGCAGCAAGCCTGGGGGCCACGTAAGAGTGCGTGTCCTCGATGAGAGGAGAGAGGATCCCGTCTCCTTGGTTCGGAGGACCATAGGGCATGGTGAGCAGGGCTTTGGGCTCCACACAGCAGTTAACAGGGGCCAACACTAAACCAATAAATGTCAGGAATCTCCTCACAGAGCAGATGCTCAGACCTTGGGGCCTCCAAAGTGAAAGCCTCAACATCAAAAGTGGACTCACTCTGGCTGCCGGTCCCCAAGTTCAAGACAAAACCCAGAGACCACGGAGGTCCCACTTGTCTCAGCTGGATGTGGCAAGGAGGCAGCCTGGAAATGGGGTAAGGAGCTCAGGGCTCCCGAGGTCATGCAGGGAGGGGGAGAAACATGGGTTTAAACCCTCGCTCTGCCTGGGCAGCTGTGTCATCTTCAGCAAGACAGCTGACCTCTGTGAGTCTGCTTCCTCATTAAAAATAAAAACAGTGAAGACAGTAGCAGCTGCCACCTCACAGAGCTGTGAGGACTAAACAGAAGCTCCCTTAAAATCCATCACTGAAAGAGGCACATGGTAGGTACCCAAAAATGGCCATTTCCCTCCCCGCTCCGGCCACAGAGAGCCAGTCCCCTTGCCCTTCCCCTGGGTCCTCTGATCACCAGGCTCCAAGGACTAATTCCTACAAGGGTCCGAACCCTCAGACCATACTACTGACAGGAGAGACTCCCCCTACCCCACGTTGGCTTGCCACCGCCCACAGGCCAGGCTAGCCAGCCAGGGCAGCCCACAGTGACAGACTGCCCAGTGACTGCGGCCTTACTCGGTGCTCTCACCATCCATGTGGGGTTCCCAGGAATTTCATACTTCCTATTAAGTGACATCCCCTCTGGGTCCTGCCTCTCCCAAGGGCAGGGCTGCTGAGGCAAGGCCAGAGCCTGCCAGGGCCCCAGGCCCTCCCCACTGACCATTTTCCGTTTGGTGCAGAGGAAGGCATGGCACTCGAGATTCTCGTTGTGCTGGCTCTGTGCAATGTAGGCAAACACTTTGTCGTGCATCTTGTCTGCTGTGCAATAGGAGATCCTGAAAGACAACAGGGGAAGTGTCACCAAACCTGGCACAGGGGCCTGCCCACATCTGGGGTGCCCCATAGGGCATCTCCCCTGAGTCCCTGAGAGCCAGCCATCTTACTCCACCAGGGGGAGACTCTGGAGACGGCTTTGGCCTCTGGGACTGGCATTCTGGGCCATCGATGGGGGGCACCCAGGCTAGGCAGGAAGGAATGCAGGGAAAGACAGGGTACTTCCCCTCTTTACTGAGCCATACCCCAAAATGGTAATGGCTATGCCCTTCCTGCATCCCAGGCAACGTTTTAGATATGACTTCACTTAATTCTCAGAGCTGCCCTCCAACAGGTTCTATAATTGTCCCCACTTTGCAGACGAGAAAACTGAAGCTAATGGTCTCAGACCACCAAGCTAGTGGCAGAGCTGAGACCTGTACTCACCTGCGGATTGCAGAGGTTATAACCACTGTCAGGCTACCCTTAAGGGTCTGGGCTGACCAGACGGAAGGGGAAGCAGGACACCACCCTACCCACCGATGCCCTTTACCAGGCCTTCCCTCCCTGCCCTCCATCCATGCCCCTGCCCAGAGGTTGGAGGAGTTCTAGGCCCTCTCTCCCAGTGTGACTGACACTGCTGGCAAATTGCCCCAGAGCTGTGATCAGAGGTGGAGGAGCTGGGAGCAGGGTGAGTGTGTGAAGATGACTGGACTGGGAGCCCCAGCCAAACCAGGAGGGACACGCAATCCCCTCCTGGTGGAACACGTGCCCCCATGCCCCCTCGTCTGCTCCTTCCCTGCTGCCTGCTCAGCCTGGGAATCTCAATTAGGAGATGGGATGCCTGGGTGGCTCAACTCTTGAGCATCTGCCTTTGGCTCAGGGAGTGATCCCAGAGTCCCAGGATCAAGTCCCACATCGGGTTCCCTGCATGGAGCCTGCTTCTCCCTCTGCCTATGTCTCTGCCTCTCTCTCTCTTTCTCTGTGTGTGTGTGTCTTTCATGAATAAATAAAATCTTTAAAAAGAGAGAGAGAGAGAGAGAGAGAGAGAGAGAGAGAGAGAGAGGAACTGGCAGCCCAGAGGTGGGACAGGAGCTCAGCTAACTCCTTCCCCCAGTGTGGCCCCAGCTCCTATCACAGCCATGAACAAAGGGATCAGCACCACTTAAGACCCCCAGGCCAGCAGCTACCTCTTCTCCATCCCAGGGAATCCAGCCTCCTGCCACCTCCCCGGGGCAGGCCTTGCTGGGTCCCCTCAGGCAGGCCCCTCCTTCTCTGCCTTCTTGGGAAATATTATACCCTCCCTCCTATTTCTTGCCCTCCATGTCCTCTCTGCCAGCAAGGGCTGGGTCTGAGGCCTCCCCTAGTTAAAGGAGGCAGGCACAATCAGGAAGGTGAGAGGAAGACACCAGCCAGAAACTCTAAGACCAAACCCCGCCCACCCCCACCCCTCACCTCTCCAGTACTGGCTTGTGCTCCAGTGGATTGAGCCAGTGCTTGGAGACAAAGCAAGAGGGTGGAGGGACGCCCGGCAGCTGGGTGCCCACTGGATAGAACTCCAGCCTTGGTGCCCTGGTCCCACCTCAGCTACTACCTCACTGTGGGGCCTTGGGCAACTCCCCGAGCCTCAGCTTCTCTGTCTGTAAAATGGACTGTCCCTTCCAGCACTGAAATCCTACAACTGACCAGCCAAGGGAGGGAACAGAGAGAGCTTGAGGTTCCAAGGGCTGGGCTCTGCTTCCTTGAAAACAGTACCCACCCCCATACCATCCCCACTCTGGCCTCAGACTCTGCCTTGAGGCCTCCCTGAATGCCTGGCCACATGTTCAGAGCTGAGCTGCTGCATTCACAGTGGAAGGAAAAGGCAGTGACTGGGCAGCGCTCTGCTCCAAGCCTGACTCAGCAGCCCGCCTCAGGAGGGGCAGTAGGGAGGGGGTCCTAGTCCTGACTAGAGCTCAGCTGCCTACTTCAACTAGAAATAATGACAGCAGCAACTGCCTTCTACCAAGTGCCCACTGACAGCCAGGCACTGTGCACTCAGCACTTCCTAACAGCACAAGGAGGCAGCATCTGTTTCCAACTGCACAGACACACAAGGAAACTGAGGCTCCAAGGTCAATCAGATGGAAAGTGCTGGAGCCTGGATTCAGAAAGGGTGACACCCCCCCCAACTCCAGCCCCTGCACCACTAACCCAAGTGGCAGAGTGAATGTGGGCAATGCTGAGCATACCTGTAAATGGACACGTTCTCAATGAGCTGGTTGGTGATGTTGTCGGTCAGGATAATCCCCCGTGGCGACACCTTGAGAGTCACTTTCTGCAGCTTCTTCCCGCTAGCCTTGGCCTTGGGGTAGATGTGGGTCAGAGAAGCCTGCGTGCCCCACTTGGGAACTATCTCATGGACTGCACCTAGCTTGTCCAAGCCCCAGACTCGGGGCCCCCGGTGAGGCCTCAATGTAGAGACAGCAGACACTCTGGGGAGGATGGAAATCCGCACTCTCCTGTAATAAACTCAGGGCAGCTGCTGCTCACAGAGCACCTGCTGTCTGCCAGGCACTGGACCTTGAGTCATCCTTATAGGCAACAGAGCTTCTCTCGGGGGAAATGGACTCAGAGGTTAAAGGACCTGCCCCAGGACACACAGGAGAGACCGCAGACTCTGAGCACTGACAGGGCTATCACAACCCAGCAGGATCACTCCTGGGGACTCCCCACTCCACCTACTACACGTGTGAAGGTCTGTGTGGAGGGCTCCAAGGCCACCACGGAAGGTGCACATCTAGGGCCATGCTTACTCAGGATGGGGAGCTAGGGATGGGGGACAGCTGGTCTCTGGTGGGTTACCCTGTCCCTCAAGCCAGAGGGCAAGTGATTGGGTGACAGCTTGGCACTAAGTCACCAACCCTTAGGCAGGGGACCTGAGTTGGGGGAGGTGAGGCTGGAAAAGGCCATGGCCACAAGAGCTGGAGGAGGACACTGACCCTGACCCCACAAGCCCAGTGGCTCCCCTCTACCAGAGTCCCTAAGCTGGATGCAAGAGGACTCAGGGGCAGGAACAGCTCAGATGAATCCAATCAGGGTAATAAGCAGGGGATGAGTGGTACCTCAAGAAGCTGGCCCTTGGCTCATGGCTCCCCCACCCTGCCTGGGGCTCACCGTGGCCACAATCCTCTTGACAGCAGCAGCTGACAGCTCCTCACCCTTGGGCTGCTCCACTAGCGTCATGCCCAGGTACTTGAGGCTGAAGAGCATTCCCTCGAGCAGTGTCTCCCTCGTGTCTGTCCAGTTCTCTGGCAGCTCTGGGCAGGAAGAAGACAGGTCCTCAGACCCTGTCCTCCCAGCCCCCACTTCCTAGGGAAGACGTAGCAAGGGGCATTTGGGTTCGTCTATCTACCATTATTTTTACCTATAGTAAAGAACAAACATTTTCCAGGACTCACCAAGAACCACGCTAAGAAACCTTATATAAAATAGCCTCATTAATTCTTACGACAATCTATGAGATAGATACTTTTATCATACCCACTTACAAAGACACTGAGGCCTGGGGAGATAAAATCACACAACCAAGTCCACAGAGCCAGCCAAGTATAAGAGCCAAGATCCGAACCCATATTTTCAAGTTCAAAGCCCAAATTCAACTTCAACACTAATGCTTGCTGAGAGCAAACCATGCTATTATTTATTTATTTATTTATTTATTATTTTTATTTATTTATTTTTTTTTTTTACTGAATCTTCTGCACAGTCCTGTGACGTGGATGTTATCCTCACTTTATAGATTAGGAAATAGGAAACTGAGGCTCAGAGACGCAAAGTCATCAGACAAAGACCACATACAGTGAGTAAAAGGTTGGGAGTTAGAACTCAAACCTGGGTGGCTCCCAGGGCCCCAGCCTGCTCCACTGGCCTCCATCTGCACAGCCCTAGAGAGGAAGAGGCAGGGAGGAGGGGGACCAGGAAAGAGGTGGTGATAGGGTCGGCAATGGGAGAGGTGATTGCTCAAATGACATCCTATGAAGGCTTCCTGAATCCAGCTCTGCTTCCCACCACCTGCACGTGTTGGGGAAGTCCCTTCCCCTCTCTAAGACAGTAATGCTGAAGCAATGACACAGAGCAAGGCACATGGAAAGGTCCTCTGAAAACTCTGGCCATGACAGAGATCAGGAAAGTTGGGAAATGGGGGAATGAGCCCAGCTCACTGGGTAGGGAAACAGATGGAGAGAGAGAGAATTGGAAAGCCCCTGCCTCATTCATCCACATGAGAGAGGGCCCTGAGCAGGCAGGAGGGCATGTGTGGTTTTCATCAGTGGTTTGAACAACCCCAGGATCCCTCCCCAGATCATTCAGCTGGAAGCAATGAAGCCAGAAGCGGAAGAAAGGTCTCTAGGGACCCTTCCAAGACCCATCACCAAGACAATGAACACCCCATGCTCCTGCCTGTCAAGGCCCTTTGCCTGTCCTTTATTATCCTTTCTCTGATGCTGCAGTGTAGGAGGTACTAGGATTGTACTTTAAAGAGGAGGAAACTGCTCTTTAGCTGCACACAATCTTGGATAGGGCAGGATCCATAGAAGAACCAGTTTCCAGGGGCCACCATGGCCAGGGCCAGCTTCCCTGGACCATTTTCTGAGAGAGGAGTGGAGAGAATCCTGTGCTTTCTTGCTCCTCCAAGGGCCCTCAGTGGCTGTAATGGAAGAGCCACAGGAAGAAAGCTTAGGACTGGGCATCAATGGTTCCAGGGCAGCTGAGGTTCTGGGCTGGCACAGCCTGGTTCCGAGGTTCCTGCACTATTGGGTCCAGGTGGCAGCACTGGGCCCCTCTCCCTTGTCTGGCCCATGCTGTCCCTCCTAGCAACTGTCTTGGGAGTTCTACTCCTCCCGGAGCTCTACCTCCCTCTGCACCAGTCAGAAGGAGCCTTGTATACCCACACCTCTCTGGCTTTGACTTGAACAAGCCACTGTCCCTTTCTGAAACTATTCCTCCTCTGAAAAATAATGCACGTATGTTGGGTGAGGGATGTTTTAAAGAACTTACGGGTGTACCCAGTCCCCGTTTGAGATCCAGGTGAGCAGGGACTTGTTGACGGGTCATCCAGAGTCTGGCATGTAGTTGGCACTCAGTATCTGCTGAGTGAAGAAATGACCTGGACAACTCCAAGGGTTCTTTCAGCCTTGCAATGTCTCAAACCCCATCCTTAGCTCCAATCCCCAGCCCATTGCTCTCTAGCCCTTGAACTTGGGCCACCGACCCAACATGAGGCCCAGCCCCCACTGAGAAGACCCTCAAAGTGACCCTATCCACTGCTGTATCAATCACAAGCCTACTTCACTTGATCCTCCAAAAAAGAATCAGAAAGTCCCTGAGGTGTCCCAGTTCTGGGATGGGTGACGGAAGTCCCGGAGAAAATCACATCTGAGCCTTGCTCTCAAAGAAACCAAACACCACCATATTACCAGTGCAGAACAGAGCTAGCGAGCAACAAAAACAACAATAACAAAGCAGCTCTTACCATTACTTCTAACATTGACAGTACTTTGCAGGCACACATTCTTTCATTTCTGTTTCAGAGGAGGGAAGGGAGAGTCAAAGGACAAGTAACTTGTCACATTAGTTGTTGTCTGACTGTAAATAAAGCCCAAGCTCCTGACCAGTAGCCCATATAATCTTCTCATGAGGCAAACTACCTTGATTTTAGCAAAAGGTCAGAAAGAAGTTCCTAAAGCCAGAGATACTTCTTCCCACAATTCCTAATTCCTGAGGCTTCCCCTCAGTGGGTACTCAAACTACCACTCTCAACCCCAGATGCATCTAAACTACACGCTGCAATGCCTATCGCTAAGGTCCTTGACAGACATTGCTAATCGATTGCAGCTCTGTTCCCTCTGATTTTCGGCTTTGGACTGTTTCTCCATATAAGGCTCCAGGCAGGCAATACCAATTAATCAGGGGTGGCCTCCTTCATCTCATTATCCATCCCTGCCCTACAGCAAGCATCCTTCCTCTCCGCCATTTTCGTGTCCCCACTACCCCATTTCCTCTGGTTCAGTTGGCCCCTCTCCAAAGCCACTTCCGTTCCTTCTATTCCAAAGGGCCAAAGCTTGCCAAGGTCACAGATGACCTCTTTGCTGTCAAAACAATCCCCAGTCCTCCCTGACCTCTGAAATGCTTAGCATATTCTGCATTCTTCCTTTTCTGGCCTGACCCCTCCCCTATTCTGTGGCCTCTTTCATGAGGGCCCTGGTAGACTGGTTACCACTCATCACCCTTGGAGACCCTCTGCCCCAACTCCTCACATGACAGATGACGAAACTGAGGCCCAGGGAGGGATGGGACTTGGGTAAGATCCCACAAGGCAGAGCTTCACTCCCACACACACACCCCAACCCACTAGAGGCAATTCTGACTACAGGGGAGTCACAGGTGTCCCAATCTTCTCTCCCACAATATCCCTGCATGCACATACTCATTCACACGCACCTGAGCACACACAGCAGAAGCTCCAATCATGTAGAGCCTCTTCGTGATGTAACATTTTCTTTCCCACTTCTCTAGCTTTGCTTAAGGAGTTCCTTCTATCAGAAATGCCCTTTCCTTTATTTGATTGAAACCCCTTGCATTTAGCCTCATCCAGGCAGCCTTCTTGAAGGCAGGATAGCCTGGCTGTTAAGAGCAAAGCTCTTAATCCTAGAATCCCAATTCTGACATTGTTTGAATGATCTTGAGCAAATTCATTACCTTCCCTGACCCTCAGTTTTCTCTTCCAATAAAATGCGGGAAACAACAGTCCCAGGCTCACAGGGCTGCTGTTTTGACCCTTTGATGAGATAATGAGGTAATAAAACGTAATGTGCTTAGCACAGGACCCCGCCCTTGGTCACGCCTCCTGATGAGGCCCTCTGTCAGAGGGTCGCTGTGCCTCTCTGGAGCATGGATTTCCTTCTCTTCCTTCTCCAGCCACATCACTCACAGCCAGCAGCTGCCTACCATGTGTCTTCCTCTTGAAGGACTCTCGTTCATGTGCGTCTCCCCCAGGAACAGAAGAAGGTGCACTCCTGTCCAGTGTTACGGCTCGGCCTCGTCCTTTTCCTCCTTCCCATTACCCTATCCTCCCGGCCCAGCAAGATCCTCCTTCCCCTCTAGGGAGGGAAATCTGTCTCCCCTCCTATACTGTCCTTCTGGGCATGACTCATAAGGTCTCTGGTGCCCACACCCTCCCTGAAGAAACCTGCACCAAAGAGCACTCAGTAAGACAAATGCAGAGTTTGTGTCTGCTCACCATCCATCTCAGGCTGGCGGCCACATGCTCCTTCCTAGGAGGAGCCCGGGGCTTTGGGAAGAGCTCCCAGAGGCCCTCAGGCAAATACAGGCCTGAGTCCACAGCCCTGTTCCGGTCCTGGTTATTTTTGGTCCTGTGGTGGGTAATGACTGCGCTATTTTAACTTAGCAATTTTACAGATGACCTGCTGTCACAGTTAGCTGGGGACGGACCATATGCCCAGTTTAACTCGCGGCTGCAAACTCATTAAGGCCCCCTGCCCAGGATTTGGAGCTGGGCAGGGTGCCCTGTGCCCCTTTGGCTGCCCAGGAGACCCAGCCTGGCTGGTGTCTGGAACATCAGAGCTATAGCCAAACCCATGGGCCAGGGGAACCATCCAAGGGCCCTGGCCTCCAGCCTTTTCTAGTCTGGTGGGGAGGTGGCCTCAGAAGCCACAGAGTAACATCTGAGAAGGCGACCCAAGCCCTGGCATGACCTGGAATGTAGCTGCTTCTCTAAGGCCACAGTCTCTGACAAATGGGTTCAGTTCCTCAAGATCATCATCAGAAACAGGTTCATCATGTAAGAAGTGTCAGGCAAATTCAGAAGTTAAGATTATCAAAAGAAAATCATTAAAAAATGATCATAGTGTAAGCTCTCATTTCCTGGATGGCTACTTACTCTGTAAGAGAAAAACATGCTTGTAAAGGTTAAAACTATGGGGTCTGGAGATGGGCTATGGGGTTCAGGCACTCCATTCACCTCCCTGGTCCTCCGTTTCCTCACTTAAAAATTGCGACAAGAAGCTTGTCCACCGCACAGGGTTGTTGTGAGGGTGAAATGAGTTCACACACGAGGTGGGCTTAGAACCATGCCTGGCACATACTGAGGGCCACTGAAGTGTGAACTACTGTCATTATCCAGGGTCGAGGGCTAAGAGCTTGAATGTGCACGCAGCCATTCGCAATATTTTTGAGGAGAGGCAAGGATATATTAGGATTCCCACTTTACAGATGAAGAGGCTCGGAGGAGTCTGGCCATGACTCATAATTGACAACGCTGGTCTTTGCCTCCCACAGCCCCATGCCATTCGCCCACTCCCGCAGCCCACCGAGCTCCTTCCCATGTGAGGCAGGGGTCAGGACCTCACAAAGGGATGGGCATCGTGTCCTGCATGCTGCCTGAACAGGGTGAGCAGGGGACGACCTGACTCCTTCAAGGCACATATGCCTCCCTCGGCCGCCAGACCTGTGAGAAGCAGTGCCCCGGCCTCCAGTTCAACGTCCCCTGCACCTGCTGTTCCCTCTGGCTGGAAGGCTGTTCCCAGGTTCCTCCCTCCCTCCCTCACATGTGCTCCAAGTCACCTTCTTGGAGAGGCTTTTCCTGACTGCCTGCACGGACGCTCAGTGCCCCACCGCCATCCCCTCAGTACACACCGTTTCCACACATGCCACCTCTGCCTGCAGCTCTGGCTGCCAGAGGTATCAATGCCCATGCTCATTGGGGCATTAAGGGCTCCCATCCCTGAACCCGCCACTGCCAGGAACTGCCCCTCAAACAGAATACCCGAAGAGCACATTCTCTACTGCCTCCCAAAGCTCCCAAAGTACATCCCAAGGGATGGCCTCCGGTCACCCATGCTGATGACTGGCTTCATACTGTCCACTTTTTGGACTCTCTTCCCCTCTCACTTCTCCTAGAAAGATTTCCTGGGATCTCTTTCCAAATAGATTTTATCTGCACTCAGATCCTTCTCTCAGCACCTGCCTTCTAGAACCCAAAGCAAGATACTACTCTAAGAAAGCTGTCCCCGCCATTTCCTCAGCCCACTTTATCCTTCTTCACGGCGTCACCACTACTTATCACCACACCTTTCATTTGAACCCTGGTCCTTCTGTCTGCCTCCTCCAGACAGACTGACTTGTTCACCACACTCTCCAGTACCTATCAGTGTGTGACACACAGTTTGTGATCAATACGTATTATGACCTGGGGGCTTATTTGCACTATGTTTTATTGTGAATATTATAATTAAGTACAGACAGAGTCTCTGTCCCCTGTGTACCACCAGACTCTAGCGTTCCTGGAACTTGTACCCTGCATATTTTTTTACCTGCTGAGTCCTTGGACAACCTGGAAGCAACCTGAGGATCAGAGAGACCCTTCTTTCCAAGAAGGGATCTGAGGGGTCAGGGTGAGTCAATTTTCAGGCAGTTGGAAGAAAGGAAAATCCCTGGCTAGGGACTGAGATAAAATATTTATGGTTCCTGAAGAGATGGGGAAGACATGTGTGGGAAAGGGAGACAGTTCTCCTTCCAACTCCCGACCAGCCGGGAGACAGGTGGTCATGAGGTTCCATCCAAAAAAAGCCTGGGGTTCTAGCTTGCTGTGTGACCTCAACCAAGCTGCCTCCCTTCTTTGGGCTTCAGTTTCTCGACAAATAAAACAACAATCGTGCTAATCCCAGCTGAGGCTCAAAGCTGATAGCAGGTGTCAAGTCTAACCTTAACTCCACTGGCTTCATTTTAGCCCTAAAAGTCAACCACAGGTCTCAGTTCCAGGTGGCCAGAACACCATCTCAAGCCAAGCCTTCTCAGCATCTTCAGCCCAGACACACCCCACAGCTTCCCTCTCTACCCTGTGGCCACCACTGTTCTCAGGGGTTGTCAGCCGAACCTAAGATGGGGCCTGCCCAGCTCTTCCTGTGGCTGGAGTCCAGGGGGTACGGGGATTAGACCCCTGGGCTGGGGATGTGGGGTGCTGCCTCTAGGAAGCTGTGTTAGAGCCTGACACCTCAGGTCTTTTATCTCTGACACGGGTCTGATAAGAATCCCTGCCGTTACTTCAAAGGAGCAAATGAAATGAGAGAAGCAAAAACTGTGTAAAATATAAAGTGACAAAAGCAGGAGTTACTGTTTACTGAATCCCTTTGCTATTCCAGGCAAAACACTATTTCATTTAATCCTCACCAAAAAAAAAAAAAAAAAAGAAAGAAATCTGAGCTGGGTACTATCGCTATTTACAACTTAAAGATAAGGGAACTGACAACGACAAGGGAGAGATGAAGATTCTAGAAAGCTCAAGACAGCACTCTGGGCTTTCTGGGGATCTGCAGGGGAGGGCGTTCTCCTCTCCTTTTCTCTGGGCCCCCAAAACTTGTTTCACCACAGGAGTCATCATGACAGGAAGTGGGAGCCGGACAGAAGGAAACTATCAATTAGTTGTCAAGAAGAAGCATTATCACTAACTTTCTCAACATCCCTGTCAGGTTAGAATTCTTTATCCCCATTTTGCAGGTGAGGAAACTGAGGATCAAAAAGGAGAATGACTTGTTCGGGATCAGGGCAGCAGGAGAAACTCTTTTCCACCATCCATGGTGCCTACCTCTCCCCTTTCCTCAGAATCAGAGGCTTCTAAGCTTTCTTCCCTTACCCAGCACCCTCTTCCTCCCTCATCCCAGGAGAAAACTGCAGGGTTCCCCCACCGGAACAAACCATTATTCTCAGAAGTCCCAGTCAAATCCCAAAAATACTTAAAAGGGCTATTTAGAGGGCCAGTAAATGGGGGAGGTGGTGCATCCCCCGTCTGGCCCAAACCAGCCCTAATGGGTCTCCGACCCCATCCCCACCAGCAGGCACCAGTCCATGTTCCCAGTGCCAGCCTTGGTTTTGGAGGTGGCTACGGCTGCAACAGCACACTGGGGCAAAAGGGAGGGGCAGGGCGGGCTTCCTAGGCCCAGACACGCTGGCACTGAGGACTCTGAGGACTCGGCTCCCCCCGAAGGAGCCCAGGAGGGGAGGAAGGGGGGTGGGGTGTGACTGTAGTGTCAATGGTTTCTAGGTGCGAGGAGAACCTGGAGCCCCAGGTGCTCGACAGGAGTGGGAGGTGGGAGTGTACACAAGTCCTGGTCGGGCTCCCCACCGACCAGGAAGGCCTCTGGGACTCCAGGCAATCCACTCCCTTTCTCCTGGAGAAAAAAAAAAAAAACGGACCTGGGCTGGGTTTCTCAGGCCTCATGGGAAGAAGGTGCCAGGTGACGGGTTCCCTGGGAGTAATTTGAGACGGGGGGGGGGGGGGGGCGCCTCCCAGACACCCTCGGGAGAGGCGAGAGGTGGCGGCGAGTCTGCCACTCGCTTGGGCGCCCGGGGGCTTTGGAAGCCCGAGGGGGAAAGTGCGAGAGAAAACAGGTTTCAAAATTAGCCAGCCCCGCCACCCAGACGTGGGAAGAGGAGGGGGCGCTGCGCTCTGGATACGTCCTGGGACCCCGGGCCGAGCCTCGCCCCCAACCTCAAGCAGGTACCTGCCAACCCCGCTCGCACCCCTGGGTCGGGTCCTGGGCGACGGCGAGTCAAAGGCGACCTCACGGGGCGGTGGGAGCGGGAGGCGGGCGCCGGGGAGGCCCGGGGCTCCGCGGGCACCTCCCCCTCCCCCGAGCGGCGCGGCGCGGCGCGGCGCCCGGTGCCCTCGCGCTCACCTGCGGCCCCGCCGACTCGCCGCCCGCACCTGGGGGGCCCGGGCTCCGCCCCCCCCGCCGCCCCGCCGCCCCGAGCGCGCCCGGGAGCCGGAGCCCGACGTGACCCCGGGCGACCTCGGGCCCCGCAGGGCCGGCCGGCGCGGCCCGACCCCCGCCCGGCCCCGCGAGCCCGCTCACACTCACTCCGATGCCGGCCGCCGCCCCCCCAGCTCTGCTTGGCGAGGCTCGGGCTCCGGATCAGCGCCCGCCCGGCGGACTTGAGCGCGTCCATGGCCGCTCCGGCCGCCGCCGCCAAAACTCCGTCAGGGAAAACTTTCCGCCGGGGCCGCGCGGCTCGCGGGCTCCGCGCTCCTCCCCCCGCGGCGCGAGCTCCGCGCCGACGTCCGACGGGGCGGGGCGATGGCCGGGCAGGCCCCGCCCCCGCCCGGGCCCCGCCCCCGGCCCCGCCCCGGCGGCCCCGCCCCGCCCCGCCCAGTGCGGGCTTCTGCTCTTGCTCCCGGAGGGGGTCCCCACAAACGGTGCCCCTAGGGTAAGGTCCAAAGCCCGACTTGCCCGCTCCTTTCCTCCCTCTCCCCGTCCCCTTATTCCTAGGATTTCTAGGCAGCCCAGTTGAAAGGTACTTGGGGCCCATTTTACAGGTGATCAGACTTAGGGTCAGAGGGTCCTGTCCAACAGGAGGGTGATGCCCAGGGCGATGGGAGGCTTAGGAGACGTGGGAGTAGTAGAACTTTGCTGGGAACCGGGCAGGACTTTAAAAGTTTTTCTTAGTAAGACCAGCTGGGCATTTTACTCACCCTAGAGCGCCTAGGCTGCTCTCTGGCACCACCCTGGACACCTGGACTGCCCCACCCTACCCGACTCCCCTTGTAGTGATACGACCTGGGTACCCACTACTACGACACTGACTTGCTCTGTTACCTTAGGCAACTCTTTCCTTTCTCTGGGTCTTAATCTTTATCTGTCAAAGGAGATAGGATTCTATTTCTAGTGATCCTTCCAATCTGCCAGGGCCAAGTACAGCGTGACCTTGACCCAGACCCTGCCATGCTTAGTAGGAGGCATTTTGGGGGGGAGCATGGATTCTAGAATTCCTCAGGCACAGATGTTCTAAGTCCAGGCTTTAGAATTCTCTCTAGGATCCTCTACCTTTCCATTAGGCTTTGCAAAAGGGAGTCAAAAGAGAACACGTGTCCATGCCACCGCGTGGCTTCTTTTAGATGGAGAGCTTCAGCAAGGTGAATTTCAGCCTCTAGGATTGCTCCTAGCTCAGAACACAGGAGCAATTTTCCTGTATTGGGGGAAACATGGGGCTGTGATGTCCCCAGCTGGGTGGTGACATCTCTGTTTGTAACTAAACATTCCTCTCTGTTTGTAAACTAAATGCTTTTTGGCCATCAGTCCTTTTTCCCTCCAAAACACTGCAGCCAGCAATCCACCCACTTTCCAGATATGATTCCAAAGCCCAGGAGAGAAGCACTCAAGAAGGGTCTCTGCAAGTCAGAGGTTGGGATCAAACTCAAACCCAGGCTTGTAGGTCAGAGAGGAATGCTGGGGATTTGAACCTGACCCCTTCTTTTGGTGGTTGTGAACTCACTTTTCTGAGCCTCACCCTGTAAAAGGGGCAATAACACCTATTCCACAGGGCTGTCTGTAAGAATTAAAAACATGAGTTCATGAGTTAGAAAGGCAGAGACCTGTCCTTGAGGGCTCACCTGTGAAATTGCCTCCTCCAGAAAGCCTTCCCTGACTGTCACTCATCTGTTAGGCTTCTGCGTTTGGGGTCCATAGGCTTAAGCTCTCAGCATTGTGGAGTGTTGCTGCTGCCTGTTTCTACTCTGGTTGCTTCCACTAGACTTTGGGTCCTTCAAGGGCAGTAAGTTTTTCTGATTCATGTCTGAACGCCTAGCAAGGGGTCTAAATGGATTTGGAATACAGTCAACGCTCCTTTCCTTCCTCTTTTCTTCCCTCCCTCCCTCTCTCTAGCTTTTTACCATAAGAGGCTGTCTTCTCCCACAAAGGGCTATGGCAATGGGTAGGTAGGTCCTCAGGGCTGAGCCCCCCAGCTCTCTTACCCTAAGCCAGCTGGGTCCTGGGGCAGTAGAGAGAGCATTCTGGAGCCCAAAGGAAAAGTAATCACCCAGCGCTGGCAGGTGAAGGACAGCTGGTGGTGTCCGGCTAGCAGGGGGCACCATATGGGCCTAGTGAGCAGGCAGGCCTGGGAATGCTGAGCCCGCAGTGAAGGCTGTTTCCAGGCCCATCACATCATCCCGGAGGTGACTTGCTGGGAGCTGTCAGCCATGCGTCCCCCGCAGAGGGGCAGCCTGCCTGTGCCCCTTCTGCCAATCCAGGAACAGAAGCAGAAACAGAAGGTCAGAGCTGCAAGGGGTCTCCTCTGAGGTCACTATGTCCAAACCCTCATTTCACAGGTGAGGAGCCTGAGGCCTAGGGAAGGACAGGGACTTGCCCAAGGTCACACCGCGAGCCAGGACTGGAAGCCAAGTCTCTTGTTTCCCGGCTTGGATGCTTATAAAAACAGAGACGGAGCCGAGAAATCTTGAAAATACACCAGTATTCAAGGAAGAGTTTTAAGGTGATTTTTTTCTCTCTCTCTCTCTTCTCATCTGATCTAACTTAGTAAAAATTTTTTGCAATGATCATATAGCCTTTAGTGATCAGAAAGATAAATAAATAAATAGAAAGAGAAGCTACCTCTGGTTATGATTGGCCTTTATCTTTAGGAAAATGGTGGCAGAGTTGTAATTTTACTGTTTTCTCCCCCACTGGGCCTGAGAATAGTGAGTGGCAGTGGGTTGGGAGGGCTCTTAGCTTCTCTCCAGCTGTAACTTGGACTTGCAGTGGGACCAAGAGAGAAGCCTAGCCTAGGACCAGGAGCCCTGATTTCCTCAAGCGATCTGTCCTCCCTACTTGCCTGAGCCAGTCCCTTTACCTGGCTTGGCCTTAGTTTTTCCATCTGTAAAATAGGAGTTTTTGCCGCAGAGTGTAAAAATTCCACCAGCAGAGTGTAAAAACTCCACCAGCAGACCACAGTGCTTAAACACGTGGATACTGGGGCCTAAGGTCCTATCTCCCCTATTTCTTTACTTGATGATCTTAGGTGAGTCACTTATATTCCATGGACCTCAGTTTCCTCATCTGTAAAATGGGGATGGTATGTCATGAATGGTTGCAAGAATTAAAAAAGCTAACGTTTGGAATGTGGTTTTTTTTTTTTTTTTTGGAATGTGTTTAGACTTATATCTGGCCTGTAATAAGTGCTGTGTGTGTGTGTATTTTTTTTTTAAATAAAACTGGAATCACTTTCCTGACTGGATGAACAGTAATGTGGGATGGTTATTATCATAATTCTTGACTGGCCCCCAGGGAAGGGAGCTCTCTTGGGATTGGAACCAGACTGGCTCAGTCTGAACTGCTGGTAGTCCAGCCTCACCCCAGAGTCCCCACCCACATTCCTGACGAGGGAGATAGGATGTCCCCCTCCACCTCTGGCCCAGATCTGAGACAGTCTTCTCCCAGAGTTGAGTTACTGGTGAGTCAGAAGCCCAGGGATTACTGCTTAGACTAGGCTCTGACCTTTCACCTGACCCACAGGGCCTTTCCTCCCTACTGTGTCCCACTGATCCAGCAGCTCCAACCAGTTGCTTCTAAACCCTTCCCTCCTCAGACGTTTCCCATACTGCTCCCTCTTTCAGAAGCATCCAGCCAGATTGCCTCTTCAACCCTCCCAACCTACCCACCTTTATCATGAAGGTCTAGTTGGCCTCTGGCCTAATACCCAGTTACAGCTACCTACAAACTTGTCTTTCCTCATAAACTCCCTCCTCCCCCTTCTCTCCACTGGCCCCAGATGACAACTGTTGACCTTGGATTTCTACATATTTGCGCCCTAAAACCATACCCTCCGTCTATATATATGCAATCTTATCTAACTGGGCTTTAGTTTCCCCATCTGTACAGTGGGAATAATACCTGCTTTAGAGGGCTTTGTAAGGCTTCTGTTGGCTAATATGGGGGAAATGCTTGGCCTAGTGCCTGCCATGTGGCAAGTGCTCAGTAAACAGTAAGTCGGGTTACTTACCATTCATGTTTTATGGTTCTTGGGGAACCTGTTTACCTCCTCCAGCAGCTGAGCATACCCCCAAGCATGGGGGCTGGAAATCACCCTTCACCCCAGGGTTCTTGGGAGCAGCTGATCAACTCCTGGCACAGAGGAGGTGCTCAGGACACATCCAAGGACTGGCCTTCAGTTCTGTCCTCTGGTTCTCAGCACGCGCCCAGCAAGCAGGTGACCCTCTGCAGTTGGAGAAGGGGCGGGGGAAAGTGCTTCTAAGCGGCCCCTCCCCACCCAGACTGCCCACCTGGGTAGGAGCAGCAGCTGTCTCCTGCTTCCACGGGGAGGTCTTTGCTTATGGAGCTGCTGAGCTAATTAGGAATGACAGAGCACATGTAACTGCCAGCCACTGATGAGTCCCCTGCCTCTTCGCAGCCCTCCTCCCCATGCCCTCCTTGGCACCGTCTGGCCCAGAGGTCACCGGACAGACACAGAGGCAAGCAGAGTGGCAAAACTGAGCGCAGACTGGTATTGGGAGACCTGGGGTTGGCTGCTTCTGCCAACCTCTTGCATGGCACCCTGGGCAAGGAAGTTCCTTTCTTACATTGGCTCCATTTCCCCAGCTGCAGGGCTCTTGACCTTGTGACAAGAGCAGGGACAAGGCTACCGGGCCAGGCCAAAAGGCTCTGCAGAGAGGGGCTGCACCTGCCAGGTGGGCTGAGGCAGACAGCCGTGGGTTGAAGTCCTAGCCCTGCCTCTCACCTGCTGTGTGATCTTGGGCAGGATGCTCACCTTCTCTGAACAACAGATTCCTCATCGTCAAAATGGGATTTGTTTGGCAGCACTTAGCTCCTACTAGAAGAACCCTCATTTGTCCTAGTTGTGTGCCTGTCACAGAGACTTCCTGGCAAGCTCATCTCCGTCAAAGTGAGCACCGAAATTAAGGGTTGGAAACTTGTGCAATTTGATAGACCAGCCGTATGTCTGGAATCTCATAATTGGAAAAAAAAAAAGGCTTGTATCTTTTTTTCATTTGATTTTTCAAGTAATTCATTTTCCTTGTATTTTATAAAAGTGTTGGTCTGTGACAGATTAGAGATTTTTAAAAAATGGTCCTTCTCCACAGATGGTTTGGGAAGCATTGCTTTAGAGCACCTTGTAAAACCGACATGGTAGCAATCTTGCCACAGAACTTACATAGTTCAAGGGTGTGACTGCCAGGGACCTTTGTTTCTGTGGCCCTTAGGCCTTCAAGATCAAGACCAAATCTCTTAGCCTGGGTTTCAAG